ATTTTTTTTTTTTTTTTTTTAATTTTTAATCCAATAAAATCCAAAATTTTGAAAAGGAAGTGTTTGAAGGGAGAAATGAAAAGAGATTGAGATTTGGGGAAAGTCCGAAATGGAGCGGATTTTGCGTTCCTACAAAGCAGGCAAAGGCTGACGATGAGACTGCTCACAGTCGCAGACGCCTTCTTTCCTTTTCAACTTTGAAGGCCAACCCAAGCCAATCCAAGCCATGGGAGAGACACTGTGACGCACAAACCGAGATACAGTAAGGAATCTGATGCCCTTCGGTTTAACTAACACACCGCAACCACGAGGGAATCCAATTTTTATCTTCTTGCTTCGATTACCCACAACATTGATTCCTTCGAAACTCGTGAGCTACAGAAAGACAGAAATGGCGCCATCCCGATATTCAGGGATGCGGTCTTAGATCTGGGTATCTACTTATCCTCTTTCTCTCTCTCTAATCGTATGTTTTGATCTTGCATTTACATGGCTGTCTTCTAGTTTATGTTGTTGCTAAGTTTTGAACTGTAAGGCCGACTTCGGTTTCGGATATTGACTTCTTGTCCCCCTTTAAGCCCTGGTTGTCGTTTCTGGTTCGGTTCTTATTTGTTGTTCTTCCTTTTCTTCGCTGGTTGCAATGCCTGCTAGTTAATTCTTTCCTAGTTTTTTTAGCTCGTTTTAAGTCCTGGGTTTAGATATGTTCTGATGCTGAAGAATCCATTTGGCTGGCTTTAATTCTTATCAAGATTACTTTGGATTGGTTTGGTTTATTGGATGTTTGTGGTAAACAATCCTTGTCTTATAGGCATCTGTTTCTGTGCCATCTTTATAATATCATTTGAAATTGGTGGGGTGAAGAGAAGTGTTACTAGGGAAGACACCTCTCTTGATACTACACTCTTTGCTCGGCCATTGCTAAGTTATTGTCGATTTTCTTATAAACTCTCCAGATACCCCGTTTTTCTTGTTGCTGGGTATAGGTTTGGTTGAGGAAGAGTGTCCTTTCCAAAGAGCAAATGATTCAAACATCTGTAGGACTCATTAATCCCAATAAACTTCCCAAGTTCTGAGGTTTTCTGTCATTCTTTGCTTATTGTTTACAGGTAAATGACATGTTTCAGCAACAGAGTACTCATAATTCAAGCTTTCTTCAAAACAACTCATTAGTTCGTGAACAGAACATACCTTTTGATGCCAGCTCGATGGAACCCACAAATGGAAGCAATGATCCCAGCAAGCCCCCAAATTTGGCCTCAAAACAGAGATTGCGATGGACACATGATCTTCACGAACGATTCGTTAATGCAGTGGCACAACTTGGTGGTCCAGATCGTGAGTAAACTCACCTCGTGTGGCATTGTAGTTTGGCATCTTCTTCATCTATATGTTTATTGTGGCTAAGGATGAAAGAACAAACAAACATATTACAAATAGACATAATAAGCTGTATGCATCACGCCATTGATCTTCTTCCAAAAAAAGAAGTCATCATGCAAATTTACATTCAGGTTTCCTACATAAATAGTCTTCCGTCTTATAGAAACTTTCTATTGATCATACACAGTTCGTCAATCAAGGAAGGAGAAGCATATTTTAGTATAGAGAATAGAAGAGTAAAAGTGTAAAACATGATAAACTGTAGTAAAGTTGCAGGTAAGGGTAGATTATCTTGAAGTTATGTGCCAACAAACGATGTTTAACCATGTTTATGTGTGCATTTTTCATCTCTTTGTTAGGTGCTACACCCAAAGGCGTCCTTAGAGTGATGGGTGTTCAAGGTCTAACGATATACCACGTCAAAAGCCACCTGCAGGTACTGTGATCTTTCACCTATCCTTACACAAGAGGTTTATGTTAGCATGCATAGAATTTATTTTCTAATTTGTTTTCTTGGATTCATCCAGAAATATCGACTTGCAAAATACCTTCCCGACTCATCGTCTGATGGTAGGTGAATCTAGTTCCTAATTGTTCTTTTTCCATCTTTATGTGCTCGAATTTTTGGCAGCATGTCGTAAGACCTCTAGTGACATTCACAAAGTCATTCACCCGTTTGTTGTCTTGTTGATGCAAGGGAAAAAGGCTGACAAGAAGGATTCTATTGACGTTCTATCGAACATTGAGGGCTCGTCGTAAGTGGATCTAATCGTCTTCGCTTTTTATCCAGCTCTGTTTTATTGAAAGTTGATGTAAATACAATTTAGAAGCAGGCACCCCTCTTGCTCTTAGTTGGTAGCTGACTGTTTGGTGGGCTTAACTCTAGAATTTGTCACCACCCATTTGCAGGGGAATGCAAATTACCGAAGCACTTAAGCTGCAGATGGAGGTCCAGAAGCGACTGCATGAACAATTAGAGGCATGTTCTAGTTGTCCTTTCTTTTTGGGAATAAGAATGACTGCTTTTATAAATAAAGGTTAACAAAAAGCCTGCTTGAAACCTGCTAAAGGTGTACTATAACCTGTGAAATTTTGTCCCTGCAACTTCAAGTAGACATTTTAGATATTCTAGAATTTGGAGCATGCCTTCACCTAAGAACAGTCGGCTTAACTCATAATGTGAGATACCACATCGGTTGGTGAGGAGAATGAAACATTCCTTATAAGGGTGTGGAAACTTCTCCCTAGTAGACGCGTTTTAGAACCGTGAGGTTAACGACGATACATAACAGGCCAAAGCGGACAATATCTGCTAGTAGTGGGCTTGGACTGTTATAAATTGTATGAGTCAGGCACTGAGCGGTGTGCCAGCGAGAACGCTGGGCTCCAAGGGGGATAGATTGTGAGATTCCACATCGGTTGGAGAGGAGAACAAAACATTTCTTATAAGGGTGTGGAAACCTCTCCCTAGTAGACGCATTTTAAAACCGTGAGGCTGACGGTGATACGTAATAGGCCAAAGCGGATAATATCTGCTAACAGTGGGCTTGGGCTTGGGCTTGGGCTGTTACACAAATGTCTTCAACAATCAATCATAAGGAATCATGATTGCTTGTGCTTTAGTTCAACTTTTGTTTCAAGGCATATGAGATGCCTCTGACTGATGCAGGACAGACTTTGAAACAGACTAAATTTTCCCAAGCATTGAATCGTTTCATCATATGCATATCTAATACAGGTACAGAGACAGCTACAGTTACGGATTGAAGCCCAAGGCAAGTACCTAAAGAAGATAATTGAAGAGCAACAAAAGCTTACTGGGGTTCTTTCAGGAGCAGCTCCAGTTGCCTCTTCCTTCTCAGCTCCTGCTTCTGGTGAGAACTGCCCAGAAACCGACAAGAACGACCCACCAACACCTGCGCCCACATCGGAGTTTCCTCGACAAGAGAAAGCATCAAAGGAACGTGCCCAAGCCAAGAGTGTCTCTATTGATGATTCTTTCTCATCTCGTCACGAACCATTGACGCCCGATTCTGGTTGTCATAGCTCCCCAAATGAGAGCCCAAGGCCAGTGAAGAAGCAAAGACAGTACCAGGATGGTGCATTTGCCAAATCAGAGATGATACTCGCACATCAGATACTGGAGTCAAGTTTGAACTCCACTCACAAGGGATCACGCTCTGTTTTTCCAGCCAGAGAAACGTTGGATCCTTCATCTGGACTATCTATAGGGGATGATGAGCAGTTTGACTAAACCACAGGGTCTCCTAGTCCTAGTGTTCCTTGTTTTCACAAGTTTATCTTCCACGGTTAGTTCCTGTTGTAGTTTTGCTAGTCTCTACATATTGTGGTGTATCATATCATAGCACATCTCGGCACATAATTTTTTTTCCTAAGTAGACCAATATTTGATGAACCTGATGATTATGTCCACAATCCAAGCAGGACCCATATTTGATCTTATTAGAGAATTATCTGGCAGTTGAAACCAATCTTTGCATACACCCGCATCAAATTGTTAACAATACATAGTTCTATTCTTTTCTGATCCTTTGAATCTGTAATAGCTTAAGTTCACTGTTAGTAGATATTGTTCGCTTTGACACGTTGCATATTGCCGTCAGTCTCATAATTTTAAATTGCGTCTTTCAGAGTTATATAGTGGAATTGATACTCGTCCAAATACTATCCTCTTTGGGATTCTCTCCTTCCAGGCTTCCCTTCAAGGTTTTCGGGTTTTCTCATATAGGCTTCCTCATTACGTATATGCTAGAGAGAGGTTTTCACACCCTTATAAAGAGTGTTTCGTTCTCCTCTCCAACCGATGTGGGATTTCACATCTGTGGTTGTTATGGTCGGAATTTTGTGACATTTGTAATAGCTTCTACATGAAGATGAAGTAATCAAACACCCGCACAGGGCAATACAATTTACTAAACAAGAATCTAAATGGTTACTGCCAACTTTGTTCCTCGTGTAGATGTTGGCTTGGGAAGCTACATTTTAATCTAAAGAAACGACGGCTGACACTTTACAATGTTGTGGGCATGGTACGGTGTAAATCATAAATGGCCATCTTCAACGATGCACTCGCCTTAAAATGCAAAGCCTAAGGTGTCTACTAAGGGCTTCTAGTTTCTCCGTTTTCGATTTCTTCTGCTTCTGAGACTTAGAGGTTGCAACTTTCTTCTTTTTCTTCTTGTCGTCTTTCGACGAATCCGATGGCTTTCCTTGTGTGTTTCGAAGAGGTGTTGGAAATGCTTCTAAAGTCTCCTGTAATCATTTTATGGAACATCATGCATACAGAAAAAGAACACTAGCAACTATCTATCTTGAAGCTGAACACTGAAATCAAATCCTTCCCATTATGATCAGACTAAAAACCAAAAATTTGCCATGTGATTTAATGCACACTTATATCTATTCTATTTCTAAGAAATGGGATTTTGTTCATAATATGATTCAATTCATCAAATGGGGGAGAGAACCTGATATTTGTTCTTGGAAACCACACAAGCAGCTGAAGATTCTTCTTCACTAACCCCCAGGGAAGAGCATCTTCCCCAGCTTTCTCTATTCGAACTCGTGTATGAGCAACATTCTTCAGTTTCACCATCTGGCTGGTCCTGCAAATTGGAGCTACAGACCCTGTTAAATGATGAGAAATGACAAGGCCTGCACTATTGACCTTTTTTCTTTAAGGCGCAGAGGCATAATCTGTAAGATGCAAAAGCTAGAATCGATACTGACTAAATCTTTAAACCATTTTCAAGTTGCAATGACAGTAAATTGAGATCACCTGCAGATGTGATGGTTCATCACTGTTAATTGTACTGTAGTCATTAGGTATGATATCCTGAAACAGACATGATGGCATCATGAACACAGCCATTAAGCAATGGGTAAAGGAAAAATCAAAAGATGGCAATGCAACGAAAACGCACAGTTTCTGTGATCACTGGATGAATTTCAGAAATAAGGTCACCAACAAATTTCGTGGTTGGAACACTAGGAGCAGAAGATGAACCAGCAACATCATTTCCACTAGAACGAAGACTTGTTATTATCTCGTATATTAGATTCTGGAAATCAAAATGTTGAAGATTGTGTGAATCTAATAGACACTAGAAATTCAAGTACTGATTAATAAAAAAACATGTTGTAGGTATTAAAATAATAACAATAACTAAATTATAAAGCTCCAAACACTTTGAAAGCACCGGTCCCTAACCTATCTATAACTGCTAACAATTATGAAATAAATACCATTACATTATTTAAGAACCAAGAGAGATCGAGCAGTTATCGTAGTGTAATCATGTCAGTGTAATAGTTGCTCTACGTTACTGAGCTTATGAATAAAAGGATCAAAAGAAAAAATGAGACCAAAAAGATCAAAAGAAAACATAAACAATACTCCTTGTGCAACAAAATGACACTGTTGAACTAGAAGGTAAATGAGATCAGAGAATATACAATTGATCATGGACATGGAATCAGAACTTGAAAAACAATACGAATAACTTATGAATAAAAGACCATATATTGAATACAAAAGAGTACTGGTCTGAGGCATCAAGATAGAAATTTACCTCATCCTTATCGGCCCCAATCTTCAAATCCCCTAAATCATAATATTTCTCAAGCTTACTTGCATGAGCAGAAGGTAACTGAGGTGGATGAAGAACATTGTAGAAGAAAATAGAAACCGAGTCATAATAGAATTGTGGTCTTGACGAGTTATGTTCCCCATCAAACTTTATAATATTTTTATCCCCCTGCATGATAAAGAAAAATGAATCAGCAATGAGAAATGTTCAATCCTATAGCTAAAAGGTATAATTCTTTCAGAAGTGGACAGTACCGCATACGAATTATAGATGAGTTCGGAGTGATGAGGTTGAACAAACTTATCACAATTAGCATGCCCAAACAAAGCAGGAATGAAAGTTTTTGGGGTCACCTGGAGGAATTTCAAAAAACGGTTTCATACATAAATGTATTGCACTGCAGTAAAATAACACTGATTCATGTTCAAGTAGAGTCAATGGCAAACTTCTAAAGATTGTTCCTTCCAGTAAATAATTGGCACAACTGACAAATATAGATGAAGAAGTCAATCTAGCAAGACCCCTAGTATGGTCAGACAAACCTGTAAGCAATTAAGATTCTTGATATCAAACTTTGCCTTCTTCTCAATTACCCTCCGCATGTATTGAACAGCCACCTTTACCTGGCATATCAAGTTTACATTATATCACCATCCACTCTACAGCGTATTCTTCTAGAAGGAACACTCTGGAGCATTTCAGTTAATCATCACATAAAGAGGAAAACAGGGGACAAGCGAAAACAAAAAGGCAGAAAATAAGATATCTCCAGTATCTATGGACTAAGGAAAGCACTCCCCATCCAAATTAATGAGGACAGTCAAGTAATTCTTCACAACCTTTCTATTCTTTCTGCCACCGTTCTCCAAGCCTTTTCTTTCCATTACATTCAATAACAACTCTAAATCCACCCAATGATAAGAGTTTTTTAGGTCTAGTTTAAAGACCCAACTCCTTTTCTTCGTTCTTTGCTCCTCCAAAGCCTCGCGCTTTACTAAAATCACTCCACAATCTTTTTTCACTAATAAATGTTTTTTAGTTGCTATTTTTCAAAAAAAGAAAAAAGAATGGTTCACTCCCACAGATTTGTTACAGCTATGGTTTAATCTAGAAATCAGGCGATTCTATTGGATTATAGTTCTCAATAGTAATTTGTGTGACACAATTTGCAGCAACCAGTGAAGTATGCAGATGGGTGAAACTAGTTTGTTAAAGGTGGAATAAGGTAGAGGTCGTACCGTGAATTTAGGTAGTCGGATCTTGTAAACATCAACTAGTTCCATCATTAGATTGTAAAGGTTAGAAAAGGCACTGTCAAGCACCATTCCAGCTATGGAAGGATCTTCAGCTCCATAAAGAAGGCTGCATTGTATCACAGAAGGCTTCAGGTAATTGAATACATCCTAGAAATTTTGAAATATCATAAATCCAGTCTAATAAAAAAAATGTAGATCATCCGTTAAATTTTTAAACATTCACCGAACATCTGTTCTTTTCACAGAATTGAGAGAAATAGGAAGGCATACAAAAAACACACACAAAAAAAGGCATACAAAAAACACTAATTAAGAGTCCAGCACTAATTAAATCTGCATTCGTACACCGAGAGAAACACTAAATCCATTCCCCAACGTGACATTTCATACACTGAGATAAAGGCTAAAACTTCATACCTTCAGGAAGATGGCAAATGGTTTCTACCAGTAGAAACCCTCATTAAAAAACGAGAAAGTATTTGTTTGGTCAAAAGAAGCCTACATTTACTATCTGCACAAATGGCCAACATCAACCAGCACTCCAATAAAAGGACAAAATTGTGACCCAGCTAATGTCACTCTATAAGAAGACTACACTTTGCTACTAAGCAATCGGGACCCAAAAATCTCCCTTCAATTTCCTCTAGAGGGACAAAAGTTCCTTGCCCAAGTCAACCAGTCGGCCCTTGTCAAGAGACCAGTAGGGTCAATATACTTGGGACTAGATAATCAATGTCTCAAATAGGACATTTTAGTTGAGCAGCTTGAGTGCCTAGGCTTTGCCTTTCTTCTTTCTCAAAACCAATGTTGAAAGAAACAAGGTCCCATGTCAACTATCTTGTCTCAAGTAGGTTGGAAAGTGGTTTGAAAACTCTACCAAGCCTCTCGACTCTCATGAATTTTGAAATATCTGACAACTTATTAGCAAGAAGAAAAAAGTAGAAGAGTATGCTTTATGACAACATTGTCTCTCATGTCAGACTAAGTAAACTTTCCATTACTTAGGGGCCATCTGTAAGGTCGTTATTGGGTAGAATCTTCAATTATAGTTCGAGCCTAACTCCCTCACCTCAAAGTTCGAGCCACTAGTACGTGGCAGCTAAGAAGTACAAAATCATGATGCAGAATGATTGCATCAATACATCATCTGTCAAAAGATGAGGACTAAATAGACAAAGACCACAGAGAACAAACTCAACTCGATACACCTAATGAATGTACACTTCACAGTTTCGCTCTAAGATCAATTCCATGACAAATTAAAACAGCAAGGAATACAGTATTGTGATGACAGCTTGCAAGAAAATATGACCCAACATACCTAGTTACAGCACCCATAGATCTTCCCCAGAGACCTATACGAGATACTTGTTTGTTGCTTCTTAAATATGTTACCACAACCTTGAGGTCATCTCTCTGACATCATTGAAGTCATATTTCAAAATATTTCAGATTCAGAACCTCAATAAACTGAAACCAAGATGTATGGTTAACAGATACATACCTCATGCCAACCAAGGCTAACATAATCTCCATCAGACAAGCCTGAACCCGAAAAATCAAGTGTAAAAACAGTAATATTTGATGGAAGTAGTATGACAGCAGCCTCATTAGCATCTGCTCTAC